GGGGGGGGGGGGGCGAGAAGAGGATCGAGAGGTGAAGAGACGCGAAGAGAAAAGATCGAAGAATCGCGCCGCGTGCGATTTGGGCGAAACGCAATAATGCGCGCGAGACCGCCGGCAATTAATTCCAACTGCTGTTGCGGAGCCATAAAATCGAAGGTCGACGTTGTGCTCCGGAGATCGTCCCGTGGGGATCCCGGCAGACACATAAAAGACGGTGTGGTCCCTCCAGCTTCTAAAATTACGAGCGTGGCAGCTTAAAGGCCCGTCGAACCGACCGGGAACAGAAGGTGGACGATCGGCGATCTCGGCCGACGTTTTAATCCCGAGCGACACCGGGAAAGCGACGAGGCGTTGTATCGGAAATAAATCGCCGGGCCGAACGCGCGATGTTAACCGTAAAACCGACAAGACCACTCTGAGTCACACTCCAAAGTGGTTGTGTACGGCCGGACACTTTCGGAATTACGGCCGCGAAGCCGGTTAATTAGCCGTGTCGCGCTTATACTTCAATTAACGAGCGTAATTAATCAAACGGATTCCCAGAGCGTCCTTCGCCGTCAGCACTCGCTGGATACGGCAAAGTTAGCAGTGGGACGAAGTAATTTTGGTAATGGCGAGTCGTAATGACGATAAACCATTCTCGTTCTCGTTCTCCCCCGCCCACTTCTCTCTCTTCCTCGCGTTTGTATTATCAGGCTAAGTAGTTTGCGGGAGTGGTGACAATTCGAAACTAGCCAAGACCGGCGCTGACTGTGCCACTTGCGAGTGTCGCGACGGATGTCCTTCGAGTGTTCTTCGTCATGTCTCGGCTATCGAAGTCCCCCACGGAATTCCGGCCGAACTTTTCTCATTTCCACGCAACTGTCCCCCTTCGGCCACTGTCCTCTCGTTATGACGCCTCGGAAGTACGCGATATGATTTACGCGTATTTCTGAGTTCAGTCTCTTCGACGTGAAGAAGATCCTCAGGGAAAGAAGAAAGTGGCGAATCTTTTTCGCGCTGAGCGACGAACGATTTGAAATTTTGCTGAAACTTTATCGCGGTCTCGCACCGAGATCTCAAGTCAAGTAAGCGCGCAAAACATCTGCGTAATTCACCGTGTTGTCTTGAAACGTTTCGTGGTCACAGATATGAGAGCCCGAATCGACGACTGGTTTTTAAAATGGATCAAAGAAAAAAATTCTGATTGTATCAGCAAAAGGACCAATTCATCAACGATCATATTCATTGATTTTCAGTGATAACATTCTCACTTTACTGCTTCATCTGATTTCTCGCTGATTTCGAACAGTGGAAGCAAGAATTCGTTGTAAATTCTATAATAAACAAATTCGTTATATGTTACATCAAATCCAATTGCTAGGTTTGTGACGATGCTATTAACGGTTTCTATACGTCTTGCGTCACATGATGCTGTATGCGTGACCAAAATGCAATAATAGGCAATAATAGAATCAGCCGCTACTTAACCGATCCTTTCAATGAGATTCTATTAATTGCACTGTTATACTTGTAAATCAGCAGTTCTATAAATATGGCGTTTCATTGAAATATTTTACTCGTACTTCACTGATAATATTTTTGGATATAAATGGAGAGAATGTTATAGTTTTTTTATAGTTGTTATAGTTGTTATAGTATATGTTATAGTTTTTTTTCTAAAAACATTCTTTTCAATTTTGCTATGTTTCTAGTAGTGCAAACATAGATTGTCAATAAGATATATCTCGTCAAGGAAGACAGTAAACTTTGCTAGAATTTTGCTGGAAACAGCAAATTTTTAAATTTTAATAGCACATTTCAGTTTCTAAAATATACCCTAAAATATAAAATAGCAAAAAATGAAAGGAGACAAGCAATCACTGCAGGATGTCGATTTCTCGATTCCTCGGCTACAGTAATTTTTAGTATAAAAGTTTGTCTCCGCGTAGAAACTATGACAAAAGAAAAGCGAATTACAGTTTCCTAAGAAGATTAACTAATTTGTTGCCAAGCGCCTCGCAGGTTCGTGCTCATTGCGAAAAACACGCCGTTTATCGAGCATATCGATCGAGGTCGATTGGAATGTTCGATGTCGTGGAATTTCGCGGGGAGGGACGTCGAATGCGCCGGCAGTATGGAAGCATTGTTAATGACGCCAATTAGCAGCGGTTACGAATGAGTCGCGGTCGATGCCGCCAATTTCTCCATGGTTACCTGGCGCCATCGACATAACAAGAAGATCCGAAAGGAGCGCTCTCTGCGGGAGAGCTGGTACCTCTCTTCAACCCTCTCTTCTCCCTTCACCCTGCTTCCACGCTGATTTCCTTTACGCACCTGCAACCTTGCTCCATGTCTCATACCTTCATTCACAGATTGGAAGGAAACCTTCAAAGCCTGTACGCGCGCAAATTGCCGCGAGCTGTTCCTCCAACGAGACAAACCTCTTGTTTAAAGGCCCGTTAAGCGGCTTCGAGAGTTCCGAATGTTATTTCACGCTACCACGGTGCGCCAGCGAGCTCCATGAAACCCCAGCGCGCGATAATGTCGCTCTCGAAATTCATTGGACGCGTTCGCACGGCTAATTGCCGATTTTCCTTCTCGAGTTTATCGTGCTCGCCATTAACGTACGTGTCACTTGTTCTGAATTCGTCGAGTCCACCATTGGATAATATCCACGTCCCAGAGAAAGAGAGAGAAATACAGAGAGTGAATGTGTGTGTGTGTGAGAGAGAGAGAGAGAGAGAGAGAGAGAGAAAGAGATTTAGCGCCCTCCTTGCCGAATTAATAAAACATTTTCACTTTACTACTTTGTGTTATTTCTCACTGATTTTGACCAGTGGAAGTAAGAGATTCTACTGCAAGTTCTGTAATACACAAATTCGTTGTACAGAGGACTGGGATTAGACTGAGCCTGGAAGTCACACGGGTCAGTAATTACAAATGTCATATAATAAATGGAGGAGAATATTCTTCTCTATAGGTTGCTTGTATCATATTAATTGAGTGTACAAAATGGTTTATGGCTTATGATAGAAACTTTCTATGTGTTATTTATAAACATTTTTTAAAAATTGAACATGATGAGTAAAACTTTTTTGTCTCTATTTTTATTGTTCCATTAGTTTCCAAATATCTGGTCGCAATCTCTCTTTAGTTATAAGAAATGTTATGAGTATTTGGCTAATTTTTCCTGCTAATTTAGTTTAGCAACATACTATTAATAAATCTTTATTCCAAATGATCGTTCGCGTTTGACTCAAATTCAGTGGGATTAGTTGTCATGCGTTGCGAATGCGTCACATAGTTATGAAGTGGTTTATGCAAGGACATACACAGTGATATATTATGTTATACATGTTACAACAGTAAGCCTGCATAAGGTCCTCTATAAAGACTTAAAGTTATTATTATAAAGTTTTTGAGAATTATCTTCTTAGTTCAACGGCCGTGAACTGCATCTGATTATAAGATATTAGTAATTTTAACATTTGGAATCTTACAATAAAAATAATTTATCTTGTTTCCTTTATATCTAAAAGATATGTGATAATAAATTCTGGATATGAGGTAAATAGTCACATTTGCACGACTTTGCTTATAATGTAATAACTTTTTTATGTATAAATATACATAAATACATATAAAAGTAATATTATTTTTCTTTTATCTAATAGTTGTACCTATATGAAAATGTGCATAATATTAAAAAATATTGCATGTATCTTTTTTTTAATTAGCATATAAAAAGTGTGATAACTAGACTCAGTTTTCCGTAAGTTACGGAATTCTATGCATCTTGCGCATAATGACACTGTCTGTGTTCGTGAAATGAATCAATGATAAGAATAACTGCTATTAACCGATTTTTTCGATGAGACTTTACTGATTGCACTGAATCATCAGTTATAAAAATAGCACAGTGAAGAAAACACTGATTGTAGAGAGCGATTACGGGGCGCCTGAATATACTTACTCGGTAGTTTCGAGGTACTGGAAGACGCGGTAGACGGGGCGTCGATACATGAAGAGGTGATCCTCGACACGCTCCACCATCATCCTAAAACCACTTCATTCGAAACGGTGGGTCACTTATCATCACCCACCACTTATCACCACGGCTTCCTCGTAGGACGGTATGGAGATAAGATACGTGTGACACCGGCGATGTGATGACGGGGTCCAGTCAGATACACCACACGTCTTCCAGCGTTGCGCGAATTCCCCTCGTCCGTGTCAGCGATCAATGTTCAGCAACTGCTCATGTTGACCGCGCGCTGTTTTGTTCGACGACGAAATTGGATCGCCGGATAAATCAGAAGGACCCCGTGTGTGTGTGTGTGTGCCCGGTCGTCGCTCGTCGCACGAACGATTCACAGCATTGCGCCGCGCGAAAGGACGAAGGCGGGATTAAACGAGTTCCAGGCTGGTCTCCTATTTGCACCGCCGTTGTCTCGTCTCTCTCGTTCACTGCATCGCCGGTACCCGAATCGATACGTTCGCACAAACAGTCGTCGGGCGACAGGTGCACCAAAGGACCCTGTCCTGGCGTGTCCTTCTTCGATCAACGACCCTCCCTGGGTCTTGTTCTTCCGAGACGCTGCCGCCGGTTATCCCGATATGATTGTTAAGCCGGATTGTGATCGCATTTCGAGCAGATATGTCTAGTCTACGTAGCCGACACAATGCGGATGAGTCAACAGCGATAATAATGCGCTGTAATATGTGCATTAAATACACCTATTATATTCAATCTATATTGAATAAATCATACATTTGTATTGCAAATGAACATCGTGTATTCCTTTCATTTTATATCTACACAGAGAGAATATTGTAGCTCTTTTCGCAGAAAGAAATTCAAAACTAATATACTCAAATTAACAATTATTGTTTCATATGTAAGCAACGATGTGTAATTTTGTTTGAGGAATTTTAAAGCCTTGAATTTCAACAATTATAATTTCACTTCATATTGTAATAATCTTATATAAAAAATACTATACAGTTATTTGCCATTATTTTGGTGATAATGACATCTTCTTCCGACATTTAAAAGCATCATGTCAGTCCAACATTTTGCGATTTTCACTAATGAAAATTACCTCTAAACAATAAAACTTTTCTTTGTTGAAAATCGTATAAAATATATCCTTGCAAGTAATTTATCTTTGTTTAACACTAGGTAATCTCAGAAGAATAACATGTCAAAAATAAAAGTATTCTGTAAATAAGAATGTTCTTTTTCTGTGTTGCTAAGGAACGCAGTAAATTTCATACAGAACAAACTTTTAAGTAGCACATATGAAATAAAAGGATAAACATTTACTGCAAATTGTCAATCTATTTTTCATTAAAAAAATTTTGAAATAAACATAATGATTTTTACTATAAAATTCTCTCTATAAAATATATAATGATTTTTACTATATAATGAATTTACTATAAAATTCTTGCATATTTGTTTGCGCGTACGACTTATGTGTGAGATTGGCAACAAGAGCAAAAATAGCTCGAGCAGATAGCAAACGGCAAGATAAATTTGGTGTATTTTTGTCATTTTAATTTGACGACATGCGATCTACATTTTTGGTTGCGAGTTTCTGGAGCGGCGTCGTTCCCGGAGAAATGGCGAACTTGTTTCGGCGTTTTTCGATAGACGGAAGAGAGAGAGAGAACGGAGAGTAACGTGACCCGGTGAGGCGCCGTTATCGCTAAATATTCAATGTTGCAGAAACGTTCCGCTGTCTCCGTAAGAAACTTCACGACTGATAAGAGCGTCGCGTGCAAACGCGACGTATATGTATGAGCGTACCTAACCTACCCCAAACTGCGGGACACCGCCTAAACCTGACTGCCTACCTGCCTGCTTGCCTGCAGTCACTGCAGCCCGACACTGCAGTGCAACCCCCCAGGTATCAACCCGAGCTCGTACGTGAACCTGCGATAGATCACCGGCATTCCCGCCCCCGAGGGTTGCGCGGCTGTGCGCAGAGCGCTAATAATGCGACTTTTAGAATAGACCAATTTCAATCACATTCCCAGACAGACTTTCGTGATTATCAGAGACAATCGATGATGGAAACTGTGCAATCGTTTTAATTACATTTATGAAGCAAATATACCGCGAATTGCATTAATTATTAAATTTACGTCATACAACAATGTAAATTCTTTGTTGCATTGATGCAGCAACAAATTCACCAAAAGTTACAGATCTTTATGTTACATTTAACATGACATGTTATTTGAGCAAATTTGATCATTTTCTTCCGTATTTATATTTCGTCATTCCATGTAACAAATATGATCGTGACCCAGTCAGTGATAAGCGATATCCACGTGAATTTCATGAGTTAATATACCTAAAGTTGCTATAAAGTAAACTTATATATATCAGTCTATCGTGACTACTATTTCCGAGAAGGAGAAATAAAGTCCACATTAATAGCCATCAACTTGTTTCATACGAGATAGATGTTTATTCCAAGCTAGATTCAAGTTTTTCAGTCGACATGTGATTTCCATATGTTTTTCAGATACATGTGGTATTTATATCGGTGATAAAGCGATTCGACTGAAAGGTTGTTATCTAACTCTGAATTTAAGTTCGAGTGCCTCACTAGAGACGATGAGTTTCAAGCAATAACTATTAATACGAGCCTTAGGTACATAATCAATCAAACGATCCAACGAGAGTTCAATGCGCAGGTAACATCATTTCTTCATTCGATGTTAACGGAATTGTTTGCGCCGAATATTCACGGTTGCTTGAATTATTCTGAGGAACAACGCACGATCTCGCGTTAATTTTGCCTCGCACGTGAATTTTCACAGAGTACCGTACACCATATATACACGACATCAAAAACCCACGAGAGTCCGAGAAGGCCGCTCGTCTGGCTCTCGTGAAATCTTACAAAGTTACGCCTACGTGGTTCTGCTGATGCCGATACATTACCGCGAATCAGGAATATAAACTCAAGCTACTACACGGACCATTGAACCCTGGTGTAGCTCGAGACCGTCTCAGCGATGCGGTAAGAACTCTAAATTGGATCAATAGAACTTGTAAGTCGAGTGCCTCCGCGGCGATATTGCTAAAATAAAAAAGATTCAAGAGGTAACCGTGGATCCTTCCGCGAGAAGCTATTATATGCCCCGCGAATAACAGGAAGCACTCGAGTTATTCGAGGGAGAAAATTCTTTAAGCAAACAAATGCGCGTTTGAGAAATATTTCTGCTCTCTGTAGTTCCCTTCTTGAGGTATCCGCGACGTTGAGATATTATTATAGACACTATTTCCCTGATTTGTAAGTTTCAAAGACTCTGTCAATAATGGAGTTATATGCAAACAGATATCAAGTGCTGTGCAGTTGGGAGAATTTTCGCGTGTGTATTTTTGTGCCAAGGAAAGTTAGAGAGAGATTCAGCAAGAAGAAAGTATGCGCCAGGTCTTAATTAAAGAGGGGAGGGGAAGAGAAGGAGAGAGAAGCTACAGATTTTGCGACACGCCCGATTTTACGGAATTTAGCCGCCCGTGTCAGCGACCGAACCAAGGTCGTGCAACCTTGACATCACGCTACGAAATCTTCCGCCTCTCATCGTCGGGCCACCCACCGACTCCGGGCTTTACCTTCGAACACTTTCGGCCGCGGTGGAAGCCGTAAAACGATCCCCGGAGATTTTCCGACTCATCGACCTCCTCCAAACTTACTGGCGCATCAATATTGCCAGTCGCGGAAATTCAGAGAGTACGGCTCAACTCCGCCGCTCCAGAGAAGTAGCGAGCTTCCTTCATCGAGGGTACTTATTTCCCGGGTGAAGAACGGGAAAAAAATTCACGACGACATCCCGACCCACTGAGACAATCTCTCCACCTAATTCGGATGAATTTTTGTGACCAAATCAATTCGACGATATTTTCGCGAGTTTCAATTTGATAAGAGCTCGCCTCAATTTCCAGAGAAGCTGGAGCGGTGCAAGATTCTTCACACGAATCTCATTCACGGCCTTATCCTTGCCTTCTCCCGCTTTATCTCACGACGGGACGATCGGCCCGTGAGGAGCACTTTACCAAACAAACACTCTACGAAATCCCTTTTCACTCGCTCCCACTCGATTTCGGATCCCTCCGAGATCACAGCTCCGCTCTGGGAATGTCCAGCCTGTTCACGCACGAGATTATCAACCCTTCCGATCACACACACCGGTCGTCCTCCAAGTTCACATCACAAATGCGACCATGTCGACGCGCGTCGCCGTCCTCGTCGTCATCGAAGTCACCGAGTCGACCCGCGGCGCGCAGCTCAACGGTGCCGCACGATGACCCCGCGCGAGCCGCCGGCGTCGCGGCGCACGGCGGCGACCTTGACTCGCTCGAAGGTCCCGGGTAAGTTGGCGGTACGCGCGGCGTCGCAACGCGACGGACGGATGACCCGAGCCGAGACGGCGTCGACGAGATCGCTGCTGCGTGGACGTCGATGCGGTCAACGGGGACGGAGAGAACGGAGTAACAGCGGCGCCTAGCAACAGCGTGAACGTACGCGCGTCGCTGGTGCCACGGCGGCGGCGGCGTCGTCAGGTATACGTTTCGCCGGTTCAAGGGGAGCAGGCGCTTTGCTGGGTGCGGCAGGCTGCGCCGCGGCGCCCGGCGTCCTTCCCCCGGTCCATGACTCTCCCTCTAGGCCCTGCCGCTGCCTTCCCTCCCACCAAACCATCCCTCCCGTCTGTGTTCAACCCCTGCCTGCAACCCCTGTGCGAGCGCCGCACCGGGCCGCGCCACGCCGCACCGAGCCGCGTCGCGACGCGACGCGCCGGGGCGAACGGCCGCGGTGGAATCCGTTGTAATAACGCGCGCGCGGAATTTCGCAAGCGGCATCAACGCGTGCGGATCGCGTATCTACGTGCATCCTCGAGACCAGCGGGACGACGACGAGCCCTTCCCGGAGAGATCCTGGGTGCGGCGTCTCGCGGTCGCGGACTGCGATCGACCGGATCGCGATTGGATCGCGACACCGCTAATCAGGCGAGAATTTCGACGAACTTCCGCTGGATACTTGCCACCAGTGGCACATGTACATACGTAACACGTCGGTTAATCTTTTGGATACACAGAAAAAAGAACATTTGTTGTTCGGAAAATAGTCTATTTCTGACATGTTAATCCTCAAAAGCTTGTACAGCGTTAAACAAAGATAAGTTACTTGCAAGAATATATTTTATATGATTTTTTTTAACAAGAAGAAAAATATCTGTGTTGTTATTCAAAAATCATTTTCTTTAATGGAAGCACAAAATATTGGTCTGAAAATGTGATGTTTTTAAATGTCGGAAAAAGATGTATCACCAAAATAATCATATTGTATTTCTTATGAGATTTATTGTAATATGCAACTAAAGTTATAATATGTCGAAATTCAAGATTTAATTCACTTTAAGATTCTCTTTTAACAAAACTATGTATCGTTGCTTATACATAAAATAATGATTGTTAATTTGATTGTTAAATTTTTTTTCTGTGTACATTTTTCTTATATGTGCGGAAAAAAAGTTTGGTTGTGGATTCACACGATTTTTGATGTAATATGAACGAACATTCGGGTTGGAGGTACCAGAATTCCGTTCAACAAGATTGCTGGTTAATTGGAACAGAATTCTGGCAATTTCAATCGGAATTATCTGGCTCGTTCATACCTCACCAGAAATTTGATTAATTCAACCAAATATTTTTTTTCGTTATGATAGTTATTTTATCTTTTCTTATTATGTAAAGGATCATTTTTCCCCTTTAATAAATGATTACTGGATTGAATAAAATCATTAAAAACATGTAGAGTATTTTATGATACATGATCGAGAAGTGAGAGATTCCAAGAGAACATTGAGAGAAAAGGATTGATCCAATTAAAATTATAGTTATTTTTGGTCCCAACCATATTTTTTGACTGTTCGAACACAAAAATAGTAACTTACATGCATGTAAATTTTGTATCATTAACACTGTAGTAGAATTTAATAAAAAAATGATTTTCTCGACTATAATTTATAGTATTCTTAACCATAATTTATAGTAACAATTATAGTTATAAATACTAAATATTTCTTTCTCAGTAGATAACGTTGAAATGTTCACGCAACGATTTGCGTCTCTTACATTCGATTACGATTATAAAAGTAACCCTTTGGGTACATTCTTTGTACATTACTTTATCTTTTCTTATTAAAAGGCTTCCCCTTTTATTAAATAATTGCTGAACTAATGGAAAAAACATGTAATGCACTTTATAATATACTTTGTAGTACTCGATCGAGAAGGGGCTACAGCCAGAGAGATTCGAAAAGGATAACGTTGAAGTGATCACGCAACGATTTACATCCGACGAGCGATAAGATACGGACTGCAGTGTGTGCTATTTTTTCCTTCTCAAGAGAGTGCATAAATTTTAATACATATCACAGAGCTCATGCTTTGCGCATAACTCCGCGATGTGCGACTCATATCGTAATATATTAGGACCTTAACTTAGTTTCCGCCCGCAAATGTTAGATGGCAATACAAACAGTTCTAGTAGTCATTACTAACGAAACAGGTAGTTTGTGATTAATTTCGACATTTCTCGATAACATTCAGTCAGCATACACAATTATTTTCCTAAACAACAATTTCTTTTGCTTTGTGAAAAATGGAACGCGATAAAGTGTTTTTTCGACATGTGCTTTTG